TTATTTTCATGCCATTTTCTTGGTAAAAATTACCTTGATGAAATTACTATGAGAGTTATCATACTAATCGAGTTTGTTGCCACATACTAATCATAATAATAATTAAAAAAAAAGGAACAAAAATACCCTTACAACTTAATTGTGAAAATTCTTTTGAAATTATAGAAAACTTTGATGTATTGGAGTTGTGAACCCAAAACTCAATGACAAAATTGTGAGTGGTGATGCTATATCAAAACATTTCTCACTTCTCGATAAACTTTATACATTTTCTCTCCATTCATAGTTGTTTGACGTATATACTCTTTCATAAAAAGGAGACAAATTATTAAAAGATAATTTGCATCAGTGATTTGCTGCTTCTTAACACTATAGTTTTGTTGTTTGTATCCAGGGACTTGCTGTAATGCTTTTACCCTTAAAACCCACTCGGCACCCTCTCCTTCAATAAATATTTTTCTGAGTGTATACATTAAATTATTTTCCGATGAAAGAAAAAAAGAACATACATTTTGAAACATCGAGCCTATTGTTTAGCCTTTTTTTTTTTTTTTTTGGGTAATTTTAATGTGTTCTAGATTTTGAGGTACTTGTAGATCTCCACTCCTATCATCTTTCTGCAGCGTTGCAAAAAGCTCACCTAAGTACTAGGCAATGCTCTACTGCCTTGCCTAAACCCCTAGACAAAGTTAGGCATTTCTTCTATCTTTTTGGATTTTTTATTCTATTTTGGCCTTTTTTACAATAAAAAATAAAACCATTTAGAACGTTTTTTTTTTTTAACAAAGGGTAATGATTATGAAGTTAGTACGAGTTAATTGTTAGTTATTGAAATTCTCAAATCGGGTGAACATTTTACCCCCTCAAATGAGGCGCGTAACTATCAGATCATTTTTTGATAAAGTTCACAACAGTGGTAGAATTCAAAACTTTAACCACCGCCTCATCCAAGCACTAAGGCTTGGAGGTGAACCACTGGGCTAAGGCCCGGTTCGCACCATCCAGAACGCTTAACAATGCTTAGATAGCGCCTAAGCACTGCCTAGGCACTAGATGGTGGTTCAATGCTCACCACTGCCCAGCGCTTTCTACAACCTTGTTTTTGTGAAGTTCAAGACACATTTATCAATTTCTTGCACAAGTTCCTCATCTACTACAACAAAGATTTTTTTAGTTAAAATCAAATTATAATGGCACTAGCAATACTTTCTTCTTCTGTGCAAGGTCCTTGAAATTGTATTGTTTCAATCATTTACTGAAAAACATGACTTATCTGAAAATCTTTTACCATCACAAAATTTATGGCTTGACAAGGCCATTGGCCAACCACACACTTGAGCTCTTTCATGTATTTAGAGAACCTAATACGGACGAAACAATATGTAGAGATCCTGTGACTACAAGAATGCCTGTTCTGTTAGCAGATCTTTCTTGAAGAATCTGATTTGCAACATCCAGGGAAACGGCTAGTGAATTCTCAGCAACCAATACAAGTCCACCTCTGAATTCCATTGCAGAGGAAACTAATTTATCTTTGAATAATTCTCCATATTCTGCTGTTCTGTCGTGAAGAAGATCGATGCCCAGTTCTTTTGAAGCTTGAAGCCAACAATCTCTTAAAAAAGGAGCTGCAGTTGTTCTAGATTTGCCTCCGGCAATATTAGCTTCTGTTAGGAACACAGCCTCTAATTGCCCACCTGAGGAAGATGATAATAAGAATGTGGTGAGAGCTATCCCAAAATTTCATGTTTAGTCCTATCCACTACTCTATCTCCCTCTCTAGTACAGTTGATAACCCCTCTCAAGAAGAAATGCAATACCTTCTTAGCTCCTTAATAAGCTAAGGCAACAGAATATCAGGAAACAAGATCTCTACAATTACACAACAGGAAGGAACTGATTTCTAAAATTTCTACTATAAACCTAAACTCAATAAACAGAAAATAAAACCTGGGGCTATACCTGAAAGAAATTCTTTCGCAAAACCGAAGTGGTCTTTATCACTAGCCATTGCAACAACAAGAGCCAATCGTGCACCAGGAAATGCCATCTTTATCATCTGCAACAATGCCTTAGCTGATTCCTTCGTATGGGCTGAAAATGAAGGGATACAATCAGGACTTTTTTGAGAAATTATATGCATACGGTGACAATCACATAATAGATATGCAGTAGAAAGACAAAATTAGATCAAAGAGATTTAAAACAGCAACTATCCAAAGTTAAAGCAGAGTGGTCATCCACCATGTAGATTTCCTTTAGAAAAACCATAGAGATTTTAGAAACAATCCATTAAAGTATAATGGGGAGGTCCTGAGAAAAAGAAATCAATAATTCCAGAGTCAACCAGACATAGTGTAGAATTTTTCATTGGAATTAATTCTTTGGACCAAGCACCAACATGTTAAAACAATGGTATTAAAATAAGCACAAGTAGAAATGCCAATTTTATGCATCTGATTAATTAAGGTAAACAAAGAGAGAGAGAGAGAGAAGTAAACCTCCATCAAGCAATACTGATGCTCCTTGCAGTCCTAACTTTTCAGATTCCTTGGATGTTAGAAATTGACCCCTTCCAGGCAAGCATGTTTTTTCCAAGCCAACCCTAATAGATCCATCTGAGATTGTCCATCCTGATAAATACATGAAGCCATCAAAAGAACAGTGAGAAAAAGTACAAGAAACCCAATAAAAGTCCTTTCCATTTATTTAGATCTAGATTTCCTACTTCAACATCACCTCACTTAGTGCAATGAAGCTATATATTCATGAGTTACAACCGATTCCTATGAAGTTATTCTGAACTCAAAAGAAGGGAATCAAAGGTAGGCATCTAGTAACTGCAGCATTCATAAACTAAGTCCAACACTTACCAGAACATGTTTTTTTTTTTTTTTTCCATAAAATCTTCAACACTAAAGCCAAAAAAAACAAGTAAAAAAATTAAAAACCCACCTTGATTGCGAAGGCAAAGTGCTGTACATACAGCTGTGATGGCATTTTGAAGTTGATGACTCCCAAGCATGCATAGGTTTACACCAGCTAACTCAATGAACTACATGGGTCAACGTAAAAGTTCAGGAAAGAACTTCAAAATCAATAAAAAGAACTAGGTAGGATTTCATATTCAAATTACAATCAATGACAGAGGATATTAGTCATACTTAAGAACATGTAGCTTTATCAATATAAATGGTATAAAAAACTCAAGAAAGTTATGATATGATGCTTTACTATCTTTCATAATGTGATGCTTCAAGAACATATAAAAGGCTATAAGACATTTATATGCAATGCTTTGGGAACATACCAGCTGAAAATCTTCATAAGGCTTCATCATTATGTCACAAGATTGGTAAGGCCTGCCCTTGAACATGCTCACTCCTTTTATGACAGTTCTAATTCCGGGGTTAGATGCTGATATTATGGGTGAACCCATTGATGATGCTATGCGACGAAGAATATCTTCAATGTGTGGAAGAAAAGGCCCACCCAAGATCAACTGAGAATTTGAAGATATAACAATTGTTAATATCTCATTCTAAACTGCAGTTAGATACAAATCACGAATACATTCAAATAGGTTGTTGCACAGAAAAACCAGAGTGTGTTCCAATACAATTAGTGGGATGGGTTGCAAACAGGAAATATTATTCTTGGTATTCTTATAGGACGTGTACAATGCAAGCTTTCCTATTATTGGAATATAACTGTGATGGCTAGAGGATCAACTTGAGAACAACAATGAAAAATCTATGGATCTAGACAGCAATATAAGGAGAAAAAATGTAAAAGGAGCAAGAACTAGCACATAAAATATTTTCATTGGCTGAGAAAGAGTCTTTCTGAATTTATCAAAATAAACACACATAGATTCAATCAATATAAACAATCTACTAGTTAAAATTATGAAATATCAATTATCAAACGCAAATATTGTGGTTCCATAGTATAGCGTGATGAAGAAAATGCAACTATGCCTCATTGTTCACTCAATACACCACATGCATAGACAAAAAATAAACTTGCGTGAAACAAATCACCTAACTGGGCGACCATGCTTGATGATTCCAGCCTTTGCCATTGCAATGCTTTCAAGTGAACCCCCAAGTGCAGCCAAATGTTCCTCACCTATTGTTGTTATGACTGATGAAGCAAGTTCAGAGCCAGAAATAATATTTGTGGCATCTCGTGCTCCTCCCAACCCAGCCTTTTAAAGAAGAAACAAACAAAATTACCATCTGTATGATCATCTAGAATTTTAGTTGAGGAAGAAAAGGACACAAGGAACTGAATGAACGGCACAAACATTTGAAGGAAACAGAAAACATACAATTCTGGAAAGATGAGTCTTTTAGGTGAAGAAAACAAATAACCTCTATGACTGCAATGTCAACATTCTCTTGAGCAAATAGAGCAAAAGCCACAGCAGTCAAAATCTGCAAACTCACCATCATTAAGTTAAAGTAGAGAACAAAGAAAAAAAAATGAAATGAGAGAGAGAGAGAGAGAGAGAGGAAGAGAAGAAAGCATGTATAGATATTACAGCAATCTAGTACTGGAAGTCTGAAAAAAGGTCCAAATCACTGACAGAATCCAGCACGGGTAAGAAACACTGAGTATTAATATCCTGCCAACTTTTATTTGAAATGATGTGAGTAGTTCATACCACAAAAGCTGTTTATA